ACGTGCAGCCCGGGCGCGCCGGGGGCGGGCGCTCGCCCCTGCGGAGGCGGCCGGGAGGAGCGGCGAGGCTGGCGGGCCCCGGAGCGGCGCTGGGCGGACGGCTCCCGCTGTGCAGGCCTGCCCGAGGGTGCTGGTTAGTCGCAAGGGAGTTTAAAGCCACTGGACCAAACCGATTTCAGGTCAATTTGAGCCAGGTACGGTTAGCGCAGCTGACATTTACTTGAGAGTTGTAGCTAGGGAAATAAGAAGCTGGATAGAAAAAAAATACTCCCAGGCACCCTGATGCCTCCCCAAGGCACGGACTGTGGGCCTCAGCCAACCTGGGCACCAACTGATGGAAACCCCCACTGAGCCTTGCTGAGCCCTGCGCCCTCCTGTACAGCTGCCACAAAGCCATGGGATTTCACAGTCCGGTATGTGTTGAGGGGTCCTCTGTTGCGTCTGACATCCACTCCCTAGGCACGCACATGCTGCACAGGAGTCTGGATGTCTCCGGCAGTGGCATAGCAGCTTGATGCCTCTTCCTTCTCTGCTCGCTTTAGAGAAAAGAGAATTTACAGCGCTTCGTGGTGAGCAATGTTGATGGGTGGATGCACAGATGGCAAACAGATTTTTCTCTCTTTCCTTCTAAGCCACCTGTCAGAACCCTCTGCGCGTGCAAGAGGACTCTCTAAACGTGACTAGTCTGGGATAATAGTGCTGTGCCGAATGCTTTAAGAGAATATTAAGATAAAATTGCAGGCCAAGGGATAACCTAAAAAAATAAAAGACTCAGAAGAAGACCACTGAGGCTTGGAGAAGCCCCAGCCGTACTGCAGGAAAAAGCATGGGTTCTAGGCACGTGCTTAGAAAAGGAGAGATGTCTTACTCCAGCCCATAGGACAATGGGTACTATAAATTACCACGTTTAAATACCAAAAGTGTTGTGAAAGCAGAAGAGGCTAGAGATGATGCATAGCAGACTATGGACTATATGTAAAGTTTAAACAACGATCTTCTCTTAAAATAGAAACATGTTAGTCCTAAGTAATAGATAAATGTAGCTTTGAGTAACGTGAAGAGAAGTGGTTATGTCAGTCACCCTGAAAACCTTGGAGAAGTGGTCCAAAAATCTGGTACCCTCATGGCCTCATCAGTCTTTTTGGTTTGTTTGGCAGGGTGGTCCGCTGAAGGGGGACATCTTGAAGAGAAGCAGCTAGACGTCATGATGCAGTTGTTCATTTTGGTCATCGCCTCTGAGGTAAGCATCCAAGTACAGGAGGAACAATCTAGGAGATGTATCAAAAAGGTAACAGGTTTGAAACAGAGGCAGGTAAATTAAGTGCTGTCATTCTTCCATGTAGTTAAAGAGTGAGAGAATTGTTGGTTAAACACGTGTATACGAAGGTTTGAGAAAGGATATTGAACGGTACAATAATACTGAACCAGACTAAGGTTTCATGGAAGATGGCATAGGTGTGTACTAGTGATGTGCCTGCCTGTCTAATAACCTGGCCCTAGTTGCTGTATGTTTTGTTTCCAAATTGTTTACCCTGTAATGTATGATGTCAAGTGCTGTTATAACACCTTTCCTTTAAGGAAAAGAAAAAAAAGAAAAAGAACATGGTAAAGAGAAAAAGAACATGCATGTTCCACCTTGGATAACTAAGGTAACTATTGATAACAAATCGCTGTTATTTCTGTCTCCCAGGGGCAGCACTGAGGACCAAGTAACCCATTCTTACCCTTTGGATATTGTTAACTGTATCTGCCTTAGTTTTGTTCTGGTTGTTTCTGTTTGGCGTTGTTATCTTACATACGTATGTGAAAAGGGAAAGATATAATACTTGTTAGATTAATTGCTATGGCTGAAATTGAACAGACCAGGAAAACGTAAGCAAGCTGATGTAATAAAATCAAGTGGAACCAACTGAAAGCTGTCTCCATCTCCCAAGAAGAGAAATCCCATTCCTCCTGTTGAGGAAAGATCCCTAGGCATAGTCATCAGGATATCAGATCACCAACGTGTAACAGAAGATTATATGTATGCATCTGTATGTGTTACGAAAAGTATGCTGCATACATATATTTTTCTGTGTGTGACTTTATGTATCTCTGAAAGCTCATATTTTATGAGCTACAAGACAGCAACTTATTATCTTAGGGGAATGATAGTCAAGTGACCAGAGTTCCCAAAGAGGAAGTGAGAAACAGCAGTGTCTGAATTATAAAATTAAGAGGTGAATTTCAGGAAGGCTCAATTGGTGCAACCCCAGGTTAATGACATGGGAATTGTGTTTGGGAAAACAGGAAGACAGGTAGGTAGAGGAAATGTTAAAGCTTTGTGGAATTAAGTTTCCTTCTCATCAGTTCCAACTTAGGGCAATTGCAGGATTTAAATTCTTGTAGCAGTGTTAATGTAGCTTTACCGGTATCAGCAGACCATGGTGGGAATTACGGGAAAGGAGTCAGGAATGGAGCTGGAACAAGGAACAGGATGCTGCTTTCACTAAACTGAAAGAAGCAGCTGTGAAATCTCCATGTCCTCAAATTCCCAGGACAAGGCAAGCCTTTTTCAGTAAGGATTCCCACATCTACTGATTCCGTGGGAGGAGCACCATTAGAAAACAGTGGTAAGGGAAAGTGGGTGCCAGTAGCAGCATCCCTACATCCCCTCTGGGGCCAGAGCAAAAATTCTCTGGCTGTGAGAAAGACTGTTTAGCAGCAATCCGGGCTGTAACTATCTTTGAGACTTTTACCTTTGATGGCGTAGATACAGTCCAGTCTGCTCAATTCCCTCTAAACTAGCTAACGTCAGGGAAATGAATAGGCAGCAGAGTATCCTCTGTCCAGGTGGCACAGTGGGCACTGATCTTAACAAGGGGGGAGTTACAGTGCAAGTGTACCAAGAAGCGGATCATCTTCTGTGCATCTGAATTGAATGAGGGGTAGAGCGCGGTTGTGCCAAAAATGTGGACACAGAAGGCTTCTGAAAGATTAAGCTCTAGGAGCTACTTAGTCTAACTTCCCTTTCACAGCAACCCAAGTGTCCTCATGGCTTCCAAAAGGGGAGTTGGGGGAAGCGGTATTTGTGGCTTGCCTGTGCTCGTTTGCTTTGCTTGTGTGTATATTAGATCTGCTTTTGTGCATATAAACGGGTTTGTCTTATGATTTTCTGCAGAGCTCTGATTTTTTTTTTTTT